TGTTTTTGCTGAGCCATCCTGCCACCTGTTGGCAGCTCAGCGGCAGCTCAGCTCGGGCCGGACTCGAACCGCTGTTGCTCAGAGCTCAAACTTTTGAGCGAGCTCTTAACCAACTGAGCCACTCGGCTGGCCCTTCCTTCTTTGGTTTTAAATGCCACACCATGAACATTGCTAATAAGGATGTGGGAGCCATGCCCCCGTCCTTCACCACCTGCTCCTTGAGGCAATAGCTTATTTGTCCCCTATCAGTAGGCCTCTCCGAGTGGATCCTCTCCATGGCCGAAGGCAGAGGATGGCCATCCCCTGGGTATTTTTCACACTGTGTTTTTCAAGCTGGCACTCCTAGGGCAAGATGAAAAATTGATAAGCTGTCCTAAGTACAGCTGGAAATGAGTGATGACAAAGAACCAGGTTGTGGCACCTACTTGTAAGTGACACCTTGATGTAAGGAGTCTCCTGGCCTGGTTAGCATGACAGCCCTGGGTACCTAACTCCAACATCCATGCATCCCAAGGCAATAGCTTGAAAACTTCCATAGGACTCGTTTGTCATATTTATGCCTTAGATGGCTTCCTTCTTAATAAGAAAAAGCAGGCCAGCAATGCTGTGTTGCTGTGTGCTTTCCAAGACACGGGGAAGCTATGAAGATCCCCTTAGAAGCTACGTGGTTGCCTATCATATAGGAGAACTGACTGAAATCAGGTATATAATTCATAGTTAACGTACAAAATAAATTTACACTTCTATAAAGCTGTTTATATTCCCCAGGACTTTTATACTCACTGTGCAATAACTAGAGTAAGTGTCATTATCCTCATTTAATAACTGAGGACATTGAGGGAGGTTAAATAACCCAAACCACAGGTCCAGCCGATGGCAAGGCCAGCACGACAGCCTGTCTTCTAGTTCCCCATCAGAGGTGTTTGCACATATGTGGCCTATGTAATTGTTCCTTAACAAAATACAGCTTAGTTTTATGATCCTGCTAAAGGAATTTTTCTCATCTCTGTTCTCTCTCACCAACTGTATTGCCCCCAGTCTCCCACACAGGAAACATACAGCAAAATAAAAGGGCATACTCCTGGAGGGGGAGGTGGGTGAGGATCGGATGCTGCCACATTTTCTGCTGGTTACCTGGGGGGATCCCTGCTGGGTCCTCTCTCCTGTGTTTCACTTTGGCAAGTCCTCAACATATTAAATGAATCGGCTTGGCCTTTTCTGAGCTTTCTCCTTCTGTCCCCCGAGTGTGCTGGATGTTTTAAATGGATTGCATGGGAGTGAATGACTCACATGTGGGATGGTAATGAAATTTGGAAATGAATATCTACAGAAAAGCAGGAAAACTGCAGGCCCTGCAGGAATTGAGGATGCTGAGAGCTTGTTCACAGATGCAAGAGAATTACAAGAACTCTCAATTAAGACTTATTAAATAAGGGGGATAGAAAATAATATAAGATATATGGTACAGTAATTTGGTTTTTAAAGAGGCTCTCTTTCTCTCACTCCTTCTTTCCCAGTCCCCCCTCTCTCTGACTAGACACACACACAAACACACACACACACACACGCACGCACGCACGCACGCACACACGTTTGCATGGATGTGCATGTTCAGTAATTCTATTATCAATACAAGATGGGCTTCTTTTCTCTTTACTGTAACCCAAAGGGGATTTTCGCATAATGACTAAGGTAGCAATTTTTGAATAATAGTTCTTCAGATCTGAAGAGTCTTATTTCCAGATTGCAGACTCAAAGCTTTGGCAAACATTATGCCATTCTGAAATCCTCTCGAAGGTTCTAGTAGTGTGAGCAACACACAACACACACAGTCTCAGAGCTGCAGTGAGAGGAACCGTAGGGGGGGAGATTGGAGGCAGACTTGTGTCAATGGAAAAGTACTAGCCGAGGAGTCAGGAGAGCCGGGGGCTGGCCCTGGCTCTGCCACTAACCAGATGTGCAAGCTTAGGCGAGTCCTCTGACCTCCCTGGGACTCTGTGGACCATCTGAGAACTGAAGAACTTGCCAGGATGATTGCCCAGCTCTCTTCCACCTCTAACAAGTATAACAAGACATTTGAAGAGTATGTTATAATTTACAAAGACTTTACGCATCAATTAACCCATGAGTTGAAGAAACTGTGACGCAGAGATGATAAGGAATTTCCTTGGGGGATCACAGAGCTAATAGATTGGAAAGCCAGGTTTGGGAACCAGGTTTCTGACTTCAAAGCCATGTCCCTGGTTTGGGAACCAGGCTGCCTCTAAAGGAAAGGCCCTCTGTGTTTTATTGTCTATTGTAGAAAAGTGAGATTTTTCAATAATCGTTAAAACCAAAAGAAAAAAAAAAGTGAGTTTTCCAGTTAACTAATCTAAATGTTCTAGTCCGTTGAGAGCAGTAACTTTCCCAGGACCAGACCATGAACCACTCCTGAAGAAGGGTGAGCCTTGATGCCACAGGAACTAAAATCCCCTAAAAAAAAACACTGTGAAGTATGCACAATCCACACCCATATAGCTGTGCATTCAGCCTTATGTAACGGGGGTATCCCTGGGAATGTTTTCTTTATGAAAATTTATGTGTTAAGTCCAGTTACATTTTGACACAAAGCTGATCTGCACTTTAGAGTGGTCATCTTAGAAAATTCTTGCATAATTTAAAACAAAGAGAATATTTCCTAATCTGATAGTTCTCTACTTGGTCACATTCCTAGCTAAGTAACAGAGCAACTAGGCAGAATGGAGAGACTTTGACCAAGGGGGACAACTGGGATCAGCTCCCAGCAGTCACTGCTTCTCATTACCCCTCAGGACGGAAGCACTCATTCCTACAGCTGCTGGGAGTGTGGGTTCTTGGGTGTTGTTAGCGCACAGCTGAGCCCCCGTGCCAGCGACTGCCTAGACTGCAGACAGCTGCCTAACCCAAGGCCATGCCCCCATTCCCTGGGGCAGCCTGGTTTATCATTGGTATACAACAGTGTGAAAGCACAGCCCCTTTGCCCCACCTGGGGACAACTCTGCGAGGCCAGTCTAGCTCCAGAGTCCCACTGTGGGGTTGACTGAAGCTTGTGTGGTGGCTGCATCACCACTCAGCTAGTCCCTCTGCCCAGTCCCACTTCCTTCACTCCCCCATAAATATACTGCACCCCAGACATTTGAGTCTGCTTCACAGAAGCCTAACCTACCACGCACATCTTCCTTTCTCTCAATCCTGAGCCAGCAGACTCTCTAAAATCTCCACTTCTTTTTTTTTTAACTGTTAAAACAACTGTCCTGGTAAGGACTCTAGAGATAGGACCCAACATTGAGAAGAACGCACACGGCTGTTTGTGAATACTGAGCCACATGTACGTACGATGTTAGAAATTGGGAATAGCCTTTCGAGACAAAGCCATTCACAGAATAGGTGATTTGGCAGAAGACATAGCATATAGACAAAATGATGTTGCATAATAAATTAAGAGGAAATTCCACCACATATCCAAGAACTTCAGCCAGGAAAAACAGAGCCCTGACTCCTTCCTGAGGGTCCGTGTTCTCAGGCCAGGCCATGTCTACTAGAGTACAATCGAGGGCACTTTCCATCCTTCTTGAGCAAAACAGCAGTGATGACTTCACTGATGATGTATGTTCTGCATGGATTCTCTGCCCTAAACATCAGGGCATTTGTGTTTGTCATTCAATCATTACTACACTGTGAATTTTCTACCCCAATAGAGAAATTGTCCAGTTGCAAAATCTGAATAAGTCTGTATAAAGCCAGCTATATCCTAAATCACGGTCAAACCATCATAAGCAGGTCACATAATCAATAGCATTTCTCAGGATCTAATGTCCAGGTATAACCAAATCACCCACATTGTGGGCAACACAACTAAACTCAAAGGCAGTTTGAGCACAGGAAATTACTATTGGATGATGTTGTCTGACTTTTTGAGCCTCTGCGTTTTTAACTATAGGTTGGCAAGTAT